CCCGCCCCCAGGTGCACCTGCAGACGCAGCAGGAGGTGAAGATGAGGATGACTGGCATGGCCATGCATGTGGTTCGCCATGATGGGGTTCTTGCCCTGTACAACGGTCTCAGTGCCTCCCTCTGCAGACAGGTGAGTGTAACTGAATGTGCTAATGTACACACACACACACACACACACACACCTTTTCTCTGCCCTTCCGAACACCATGCCTGCTCGCTTTTAATCACATGCTTTGTGTGTCCCGTTATGTTTGTGGCAGCCTCGTTATGTGCGTGTCACATCTGTGATATGGTGCTGGTTCTGTTGTCTGTGTGATACAGTGAGGCCCTTCTGGGATACAGTGAGTCAAGGGAAGAGCCCTGATTGTGTCGCAGGGCTGCTGGTGGAAGCATACCTCCTACCCGGTGCCCTTGGGCTCCTGATGTGTATGCTGACAGACCTCCTACCCGGTGCCCTCGGGCTCCTGATGTGTATGCTGACAGACCTCCTACCCGGTGCCCTCGGGCTCCTGACGTGTATGCTGACAGACCTCCCTCCCGGTGCCCTCGGGCTCCTGACGTGTATGCTGACAGACTTCCCTCCCGGTGCCCTCGGGCTCCTGACGTGTATGCTGACAGACCTCCCTCCCAGTGCCCTCGGGCTCTTGACGTGTATGCTGACAGACCTCCCTCCCAGTACCCTTGGGCTCCTGACGTGTATGCTGACAGACCTCCCTCCCGGTGCCCTCGGGCTCCTGACGTGTATGCTGACAGACCTCCCTCCCGGTGCCCTCGGGCTCCTCACCTGTATGCTGACAGACCTCCCTCCCGGTGCCCTCGGGCTCCTCACCTGTATGCTGACAGACCTCCCTCCCGGTGCTCTCGGGCTCCTGACGGGTATGCTGACAGACCTCCCTCCCGGTGCCCTCGGGCCCCTGATGTGTATGCTGACAGACCTCCCTCCCAGTGCCCTCGGGCTCTTGACGTGTATGCTGACAGACCTCCCTCCCAGTACCCTTGGGCTCCTGATGTGTATGCTGACAGACCTCCCTCCCAGTGCCCTCGGGCTCTTGATGTGTATGCTGACAGACCTCCCTCCTTGCTTGTTGAGAGAACTTGAAGTTGTACTTTGTCCTAGATCCTGGGGATTAGGTTACACGTTACACTGCAGGAAACTGATTATGAGAAACCTGAGAATCTGTTGCTCGATAATAGCCTGTTTTGTGTTTTTCTTTTTTCTTTTATTCAATGAATAAAAGGAGTGGGGAGGGGTGGTCAGGGAACAGGGGCACTGTGGTCTGTCACATACTCCCTGAAATAGAGTAGATTTATGTACATCTGTAATTCTGCTGCTGGTAGCGTAGTGAGATTAACATGCAACTAGTTAGTTAGTTAGGCTGGTGTTTGTCTGGATGCTGTGACGCCACTTACCCCTCACCCTGCACACGATGTCCAGTTTGCTCTTTGTGTTGTTCCTTCTTTTTCCTGCTTTCTCTCTTCTTCTGTCCAGGCGACCCCGATCTCCGCTCTCATGGAGCTCCCTGCGAGCATGACCAGGAAACCCGAATGCCCCTTAAAGCTTCTCTGACTGTCTCCCCACACAGATGTCGTACTCCCTGACACGATTTGCCATCTACGAGACGGTGCGTGACAAAGTGGGAAGTGCCAACCAGGGCCCCATGCCCTTCTACCAGAAGGTTCTACTGGGGGCTTTCGGAGGTATGGGCCATGGCATCATGTAGTACCACCGAGCGGTTATTATGGTACTGGCATGGCGTTAGTATGGTACTGGCATCGCGGTTAGTATGGTACCACCGTGGTGTTAGTATGGTGTCACTGTGGTTAGTATGAATGCCAGCTTTTTGGTAGATAAGTTCTGTTTGGGTGTAGTTTATTTTGGGTACATTTAATCTCCTTTTTTGTTTTATAGTTCCAAGTGCAGTATTAAGCACAAATATTTCAAATAATCACAATGTGATAACGTCCAACCCTAGTTAAGATGGCATCACTTAGTATGGTATCACTGTGGGATTAGAGGCACGTAACTTGCTGCTCTTTCTGACGGTGTTACTATCAGTGCTCTTTTGTGATCTTCGTGGCTGCATGCTTTGGAATTTGCCAGAGAAAACGTCTGTCTGTGCCGCTTGAATGTAAATGTCACATTTTAGATCTCAGAAGCACGACAGGCGTTTGTGAGTAAATCAAGCTGCCGTTTCTCCGTCCCGTAGTGTATGTCCTCTGTCAGAGTCCTCCTCTGCCTCTCTGCTGCTGTCCTCCCCCTTCTGGGCAAAGTCCGTCTTGCTCTGCCTCACCACCAATAAAGGCATTTGAACCACTTTATTTTTTTATCCAGTTCACAACTGTTCTGTCCCTGGAGTCCAGAGCCAGCTTCTCCTGGAACCATTTAAAATGAAAACTCTCTTTCTAGGTTTTACCGGGGGTTTCGTCGGGACTCCAGCAGACATGGTGAACGTCAGGTGATATATATATATTTTAATAGTTAGTTTGAACAGTAGTGTCAGAGGCCTTATTAATAGCCAGCAGAGACTAGAGCTCGAATGTCCTGAATATGAGGAAAAAATCCGATTAGGCAGAGCTGATCGCCGTCAATGAGTGAGAAAGGGTGGCCGGTGTATGCAGTACCGCTGCTGTTCATTGGGTGGCAGTGTTTACCCACATTTCTTTTGTACTGCAGTTGAAGCCTGTGTCTCACAGTGTACAATCTTATGCAGAATCTTATGCAGAAAGCTGGGTTCTGACTTCTTTCTCACCTCCTCTCCCTTGCTAATAGCTGTAGGTTAGTGATGTTTGGTGTAACACTGTTTTTGTGTCTGTGTGTCTTTTGCAGGATGCAGAATGACATGAAACTGCCCCCAGAACTGAGAAGAAAGTAAGTATATCACACATGTGTTATTTGCTATGCTGTCACCATGTCCTGCACCTTGGGAAAGACTGTGTTGCACTGCCCCTTGTGGCCACCAGCGGTTCTCCTGACTGGCCCTCCTGCCTGTCCGTCTCCCTCACAGCTACGCCCATGCGCTGGATGGCCTCTACCGAGTTTGGAGAGAAGGTAAGCTGGCCACTGGGGGTGTGTCCTGGCTGCATGGGTGGGGCTTAGGTGTCGGGGTGTTTGAGACAAACTTCCTCCCAGTAGTGGTAGGTTTCAGTTTGGGTAGCGGGCAGACTTTGTGTGCATGCAGTTCCCCTGCTTTATCAAAGTAGAGCCTTCCTAGGAAACCTTTCGTAAGCCGAAATGGCATTAAGTGAAGAAGCAATTACCGTTCATCTATATGGGAAAATTTTTTGAGCATTCCCAGACCAAAAAAAATAACCTATCAAATCATGCCAAATGATGCATACAACCTAAAATCACAGGGGTCTCCAACTCCGGTCCTGGAGAGCTACTATCCAGTAGGTTTTCTGTCCTACTTGGCTTCTGATGAGCCACAGCTACTCCTGGTATTTACCTGAGAACAGGTGTGGCTCATCAGAAGCCGGGTAGGATGGAAAACCTACTGGACGGTAGCTCTCCAGGACCGGAGTTGGAGACCCCTGCACTAACATATATTAAAAGCAGGAATGATATAAATCCACAACCCATATAAAGTAAAAATAATGTGTATACAGTATAATTTCATTTGTCAGAATCAATACAGTCGTGCATCACTTAACGACAGAGATACGTTCTGATAAATGTGTCGTTAGGCGATTTCATCGTTGTGAGAACATCTTGGAGTGTACTTACACAAACCTACATGCTATAGCCCACCACATGCCCGGGGCTACATGCTATAGCCCACTACACGCCGGGGCTACATGCTATAGCCCACTACATGCCGGGGCTGCATGCTATAGCCCACTACACGCCGGGGCTACATGCTATAGCCCACTACACGCCCAGGGCTGCATGCTATAGCCCACTACACGCCCAGGGCTGCATGCTATAGCCCACTACACGCCCAGGGCTGCATGCTATTGCCCACTACATGCTGGGGCTATATGGTGTAGCCTAAATAACAATAAACAGATAAACACTACAGTAAATACATAAACCAGTAACGTAGTTGTTTATTATTCTGAATTATTTACTGTACATAACTATATGTGCTATACTTTATATTACTAGCCGCGCAGTAGTTTTGTTTACATCAGCATCAACACAAACATGTGAGTAATGCATTGTGCAATGATGTTACGACAGCTACGATGTTAGGTAATAGGAATTTTTCAGCTCTGTTGTAATCTAATGGGACCACTGTTGTATACGCAGTCTGTCATTGACAGAAACATCGTTATGCAGCTCATAACTGTACATCTACCACTGAATCTCTGATAAACAAATGCTAAGCGGTTTTTGGTTTTCTCCTTTTTTCGTAAAAGCAAAATCATCTTCATATTGCTTTCAGTTAGTGAAAACAGGTGCTAGTCTAGGTCTTTAAAAGCAAAGTGCTGTAAAGCGCGCATTCGGAAAGCAGTGGGTGCCTGAATTACATTGTGGGGAGCGGATTTCCCTACAATGTGATTAAAAACCCGTAACTTTTTCGGCCTCCACAAGGACAACCTTAGTTTTATGAAAATCTGTGACTGCAGTCAAAAAAATAAAAATGCCTAAAGTTTTGTGATCGGTCCCCACAAAGAAAGAAATGCCTAACGTGTGTCTGTGTGTGTGTGTCTGACATGTTTATCTCTCTCCCAAGAGGGTGTGAGGAAGCTCTTCTCCGGAGCTACCATGGCCTCCAGCAGGGGAGCTTTGGTCACAGTAGGGCAGGTGAGAGGCAGTGGTGCTCTTAGGGATGTGGGTTTAAAAATCACCAGATATTTGACTTTTGAGTAATTTTCATGTTTTGTATTTGTATTGTGTTGTAGTGAGGAATGGTATAGAGTACAGGTGTGAGCGTGTGTACGTGTGTGCGTGTGAGCGTGTGTGCGTGTGTGCGTGTGAGTAACGGTCTCTTCCTCTGCATCCAGCTTGCCTGCTATGATCAGGCCAAGCAGTTTGTCCTGAGTACCGGCATCATGTCTGACAACATCATCACCCACTTCCTCTCCAGCTTCATTGCAGTGAGTCACAACATCCCTAACCCGACCCCCC